GTGGGGGGGGTGGACGGGGAGGGGGGTGGACGGGGGAAATTTATCAGCCTCCTCCCACCGCGGCTGGGCAGAGGATAGAACAAAAGGGCAGTAGACAACATGAGCAAGAGTCAGCCAAGTTTCCTGCCCAGGCAAACAGAGAGGATAGGAGGAGAGGAAAGAAAATGGTAACAGAAGCTTTTTTTATGCCGGAAATGTAAGAGTGCCTTTGTTGTAAAACACAGGCGTTGATTTCCTGTTTCCATAACTTATGACTGGTGAGTTATTTTTACATTTATCTTAATGAGGTTACACCCTGCTCTGAGATTTCATAAGCCATTGCCCTGCGCATGAAACAAACAAAATATTCTTCTCTCTGATTCAGTTTCTTTGTTGACCTTGGGATAGCTGAACGAGAGAATGGTCTGGATTACACATTAACCTCTGTGTCTAAAAGTGTGTGGGGAGAAGGGGCACTCAGGCTTTGTTAACGCTGAGGAATTCTTTACCTGTGAGACTCAAAAGTCAGTGTTATTTCCTGACTTTTATTTGTACCATGAAAAGTTACAAAGGACCAGAAAGTGTTTCCTAAATCATGGAGGAAAAGTTCTCAAAGAAAAAAGTGTAAATATATATTTGGTCTTGAACGATGCATCTCAAATCAATTCTGACAAAAATCTTGTGCGGGTGAATAAAAATTAATGGAACATGATTCATTGTGGGCATCAAACATTCAAATTAGTAAAGAGCATAGCCAAGGAGACGTACTTATTTTATTCTTCAGTTATTACCTGCATGCTGCAGTGGACAGAGGAATTTGGAATGTGTCCTTTATTGCTGCCACGCTGCTTCGGGCTCTGGCTTGGGAATTAAGGATCCATGCCTCTACATAATGATATATGATTAGCACTGTGAAAGTAATTGACTCTTTGTTCTAGACAATCCCTTGCAGTGTCAGCAAGAAGCTGGAACAAACTGTGTCATTTAACAGCGTTATGCTGCAAGTGAGAAAAACCTCTGATCCCTGCACAATTAACTTCTTAATAATTTTTAAGTTCTCAAGATTAAATGAGAGAATTAATATAATAGACCACGTAAATGTGCATTAGAGAAATAAAGCAGTGCAAAGGCACTAAGAAGGATGGGGAAATTTAAAGAAATTAACAATTGTTCTCAAATATAATAAGAGACAGGTGTCAGGCTGTTAAAAGGATGATTAATGTAACTGGGGCAGCTGAGAGTGGTAAATGCACAGCTGTTGCAAAGATTAGTTATGTAGTAACAGAGAATACTACTTGTTTTGCTGTGCACTCCACTAAACTAAATTATATTAAGAGCTTATAAAGTATCCTGGAAAGCGAAGTAATAATGATATTGACACCTGTTTTACATAGTAAACCCCTATAACTCAAATCAATGATACTGATGCTTATTTTACATAATAAAACGCTGCAACTCAAATCATTCGCTCTAACTTTGTGCCTTCAAAATCACAGCACACTAGCTTTATTATTTATGAAATTTCTCAATTTTCTTCATTAAATCTATGAAATATCTCAATAATCATTTTAAGACAATAATGCTTGCATTAGGTGGCATTAATTTCAAAATGATCAAATTTTGAAAGTAATATGTTCTCTTTGAAGTTCACTAGTTCCAAACTCTCTTTTATTCTGATAGTTTCGTTTTATCAAAATGTTGCTGTATTCACCGCAGAGTGATGAGTTGCATTTCAAGTAATTCTATAAAATCTGATGAGCGTTCCTCTTGGATAAGGACTGGACTATATTTAGTTCAGTCTCAGGGTCACACTGACCTTTAGGAAACAAAGGAAAGAAGGAGACATTGCTTTGTAATTATTCTTAAACGAAATTTGTTTGTTTTCAATACCATCTAATTAAGCTAATTAATATCCTCTTGTACAACATAAAACAGAAAGAAAAAGAAGTATCAAAACAGTGACGTGGGGCTTCCCTGGTTTCGCGGTGGTTGAGAATCTGCCTGCCAACGCAGGGGACACGGGTTTGATCCATGGTCCGGGAAGATCCCACATGCTGCGGAGCAAATAAGTCTGTGTGCCACAACTACTGAGCCTGTGCTCTAGAGCCCGTAAACCACAAGTACTGTGCCCAAGTGCCGCAACTACTGAACCCGCGTGCCTATAGCCCGTGCTCCACAATGAGAGAAGCCACCGCAATGAGAAGCCCGTGCACTGCAACAGAGAGTAACCCCCGCTCGCGGCAACTAGAGAACGCCCACGCGCAGTAATGAAGACCCAACACAGCCAAAAATAAATAAATAAGATAAATAAATAAGTTTATTTTTTTAAAAAGTGACATGACTATATTTATGGCTGCCTATGGTATTTCTTTTTTTAAAAGAGTCTATGAATGAAAATGATTTCAGTTACTCATTCACAACTTTCTGGAGAGTGTACACTCCTTTGTGGCAGGGACCTGGGTTTATTCAGTAAGGTTTTTGTTCATAATGCTTTGTTTTGATAAATTATAAAATTTCTTTTTCACACCTAAGTCCTTACTCTCTCCTGTGATTTCCCTTCACATTGGCAAGTGGCTGCTAATTCTGCCTACTACGTGAATTGAAAATCAAAGTATCAGTATATTTGAGCCGATAAATTACTATGAGAATTGATCTCAAACACCATTCTTATGCAACTTTGGAAACTTTTCTATGTGTTTATATATGTTTGATGGCTAACTAAGCAATTAACAGTGTTAAACTGAGACACCAGACACAAGATTCTAGTCATTAATTTCTTGTTAGTGATCAGAAAA